CCCTTCTGGTCTCTGTCCTTTCTCTCTGATTGTCTTTTTGTGTTTCCCCATGTGTCTGGCTATGGGGTCTCTGATACTCTCCATCTCTCCCCATCTCTGACTGTATTTCTGTCTTTCCCCATTCTCTGGATCTCACTTCCACGTCTCTGTATGTCTTGCTGTCGTCTGTCTGTCTCCATCGCTGTCTCTTTCCCCTTCAACTCCGGCACTTCCCTTCTTGGTCTGGCTCCCTCTGCCTCTCCCACGTCTCCCCTTGTCCTGTCTGTTTCTTCTGCGAACTTTCCCACGTCTGTTTCGCCCCCACTTGCCTTTCCCATCTGTCTCTCCCCCATTTCTCCTGGTGCTGTCTCTGTCCCTTCCCCCCTCCCTCTCTCCCTCTGCTTCAGCTCTGGGTAGGCATGCCCGCATGGTACGTGGCCGCCTGCCGGGCCAATGTCAAGAGTGGTGCCATCATGGCCAACTTGTCAGACACGGAGATCCAGCGCGAGATCGGCATCAGCAACCCGCTGCACCGGCTCAAGCTGCGCCTAGCCATCCAGGAGATGGTCTCGCTCACCTCCCCCTCAGCTCCTGCCTCCTCCCGCACGGTGAGCGTCCAGTGGCCAATCCCGGCCCTCGCTGCCTCCAGCCCCGCCCCTTGCGCTATACTAGCCAATCCCAAAGCTGCTAACTCCCACTCTTACTTGCAGCCCCTGCTTCCCATTGGCTCTCCTTCTCCAAGTCTCTCCGCCCTGCCTCAACCCTGTACTGTGTGTTTTTCCTGGTCCTTCCTGAGTGTCTCCTGCCACCTCTTTCTCTGACACTCGCCCTTGGATCCCATTGCTGGTTTTCCCCAAGATTGGCTCCAGCCTCCGAAGAACTTTCCCTAACTTGACAGCTGAGCTAGTCACAATTCCTCTTAAGCATTTTCTGCCTTCCAATAATTTTATCCTTTCCAGTTTTTTATTAAGAGAGTGTATGTCTATCTCAGAGAAACTTAAATGTAATTTGGACATGCCAGGTTCTCCCCTGAAATTACTTTAGCAGTCATTTTCTTCTCCTCTGTAGCCTCCATGCCCTTATCCCACCTAGGAGTGTTAATATTATTTGTAATTTAATCTACTAGTCAGTCTATACTCAATTTTCCCAATACAATCTATACTCAAATTTCTTCAGGGCCTCACACATGCTAGGCAAGTGCTAGCACATAAGCCACATAAGCCACACCCCCAGCCTTTTTGTTATTTACTTATTGTTATTATTTTGATGGTATTGGGGATTGAATTCAGGGCCTTGAGCCTGCTAGACCCGCACTCTATCACTGGAACCACATCTCCAACCTTTATTTATTTATTTATTTATTTGAGATAGGGTCTTGCTAACTTTGCCCAGGGTTGGCCTTGAACTTGAGATCCTCCTGCCTCTGCTTCCAGAGTATCTGGGATTACAGGCGTGTACGACCACACTGAGCTTTCCCCAACATATTGATATGATGTCAATTGTGTCTGTGTAGCCACATTAAGGGCCTCTGTTCAGTTCTTTGCCATTATCCCAGAGCCCACATTGGTGCCTGAATCGCTAGGCGCTACATAAACCTTTGAGTCCAAGTGTGAATTTCTAACTCATGGGGGATGTTGCAAGAAGTAATTCAATCCCTGGGGACAAGCCCCGCCCCCACTGGCAAACCTGGAGGTCTGCCTCCTCCTTGATCTTCACTGGGTAGTCAGTGTGAGATTAGAGAGGTGATGTCATTTGATCAGGGCCACACAGCAAAATGCTCCACTGGGCCCTAATTCCAACCCTTTTGCCTGGCACAAGACAGACTCACAATAAAGGACTACTCTTTTCCTTTGTCAGTTGTGTGCCTGGGCCAGAAAGCAGATCTGTTTTCCCCTCCCCTATTGAAAGTCTATTCCCATCCCATAACATACCCCGCCCCTCAGCCCACAGGAAACGTGTGGATGACACACGAGGAGATGGAGTCCCTTACGGCTGCAACAAAGCCTGTGAGTGCCCCCTGCTGATGGGCTTTGGGGTGGCACTAACCCTACCTGGGGGTGGAGGCGGGGACCTAAACCTAGTCTGTGACTGTCAGTCTGTCTGTCCCTTCCGTCCCCCTCTGCCTGCCCCTTAACCCACCCCTTCTCTCCCCTCTTCCCACTAACGGGTCAGGAGACCAAGGAGATCAGCTGGGAGCAGGTAGGGGCGCGGGGCGGGGCTGGGCGCATGAACAGGCTGTGCACGCTGCATGGACGCCCCTCCTTCTCTGAGCCCCGCTCTTACCCTCGCCAGAACATTCCATCATCCCCACGGGTGGCAGGGGGCTAGCACCAAGCTCATATTTGGACTGGTTCATTGTGGCTTGATGGGGGGGCGATGTGACAGCCCCCGCTCTTCCATGGTCAGCCTGGCGCACCGGCCATTCCATTGTGGTCGGTTGGTGGGGGCCCTCGGGGCTGTAAGGGACGGGGAGTCGCTGATCAGCCTGTTTCCCTATGGTTGCGGGGAAAGGGGGCTAGCTGCATGGCTCCAGTTTACCTGGGCAGGTGCGCACTGGCGATGGTGGGAGTAGGATGAGTATTTTGTTCTCAGCAAAGGGAGGCACCAGCGCTGGAAGCATTGGGTTGAGTTGTGGACTTTGTCTCCAGCCAGGGGAGGTGTGGATGGTCTCCTTATGCTAAAGAGTGTGAAGGAGTTTGGGTCAACCAGAACTATGGAACAGATACATTAGTGTTTTCAAGCTCTGGTGGGAGGAGTGGTCCTTCCTTGGTGACAGAGTCGCGTTGGAAGAACTCATTGTCTTGGGGAAGTATTTGGGAGAGTAGGCATGTTGGATTGAGTTGGGAAGTTAAAGCAATGCGTCTCAAAATTTAATATGTAGGTCAGGTCACCTGGGGTGCTTGTGTCCTTGTGAAGGTGTAGGAGGTGACTTGGGATTGGTCCGTTGTCCCAAGCAGATGGTGGGTGGGAAAGAACAGTTTTGGGTTGGGGGACTTGGGCTGTACCCCTTGCATACACACATGGGAAAGGGTCAGAGGGCCTGATCCCTCCTTCACCTGCCCATGGCCTCAGATCCTGGCATATGGCGACATGAACCACGAATGGGTGGGAAACGACTGGCTGCCCAGCTTGGGGCTGCCCCAGTACCGCAGCTACTTCATGGAGTCGCTGGTGGATGCCCGGATGTTAGATCACCTGAACAAGAAGGAGCTCCGGGGCCAACTCAAGATGGTGGACAGCTTCCACAGGTGGGGGCTGCCTGGCTAAAGGGGACATCCAAAGGGAAGCCTCGCCCCTAGAGAGTCTTTGGCCAGTGATGCTGGCGATGGGAAATTCCTAGGATTATCTTTGGCACTTTAGCACGGGTTCTCTGGAAATCCCGACACTATGTCCCATCCCCCAAGAAGATCCATAGAACTGGCCTAGTAAGCCTCACACCTGGTCCGGGTTAGCCAAAAGGAATTTGCCTGTTGAAAATGCCCCACCTCCTGGGAGGGCCAACAATCAATACAACTGATGGATGGAATAGCCAATGGGGACAGGACCTGAGATGAGGGGCAGACAGAGGCTGTGATGGTTCCTCTGTGACTCCACTTCCTCCCCCCTGCTCAGGGTGAGTCTGCATTATGGGATCATGTGCCTGAAACGACTCAACTATGACCGGAAGGACCTGGAGCGGAGGCGGGAAGAGAGCCAGACTCAGATCCGAGGTGAGTAGAGCGTGAGTCCTTCTAGGAGCTAGGTAGAGGACTACGGGATAGGGCTGGAAGAGGGGCGATGGGGAAGGGAGACCAAAGAAGATCGCAGCTATAAGCGAGGGGAAGAGGCAGCATGAGGGTGTGACCAGGAAAGGAGGTGTGGACTAAAGTGGTCATGCCTGGCCATTGTTGGGACTGGGCGGTACTAAGGGTCTCTTCAACCCCCAGACGTGATGGTGTGGTCCAATGAACGGGTTATGGGTTGGGTGTCCGGGCTGGGCCTGAAGGAATTCGCCACAAACCTCACCGAGAGCGGGGTGCACGGGGCGCTGCTTGCCCTGGATGAGACCTTCGACTACTCGGATCTGGCCTTGCTCCTGCAGATCCCCACGCAGAATGCGCAGGTGAGCTGCCGCTGGGCCTGGTACATGGGGGGCATCCTCACCTCGAAGACTGCACGCTCCAACCATGCCCCCACCTCCCTCTGCAGGCCCGACAACTTCTGGAGAAGGAATTCAGCAACCTCATCTCCTTAGGCACAGACAGACGGCTGGACGAGGTGGGCGTGGCTGCAGCTTGGGAAGCTGGACTCAAAGCCCCACCTCCCGATTGACAGCAAAAGGGGCGGGACTTGGCTTTGCCAGCCAGTCGTGGTTGGAGGCTGAGTTAGGGGAGGGGCGGGGTTAAGGGAGAGGTGAGACCCAGAGAGGGGCGGAGCCGAAAAGGGGTTGGTGTCAGAACGAGGCCCTTGTCTCTTCTTATGGCCTGTCTGGTTCCTATACCTAGGACAGCGCCAAGTCCTTTAGCCGTTCCCCATCCTGGCGGAAGATGTTCCGAGAGAAGGACCTCCGAGGTGTAACCCCCGACTCGGCTGAGATGTTGCCTCCCAACTTTCGTTCTGCTGCAGCAGGTGCCCTGGGATCGCCGGGGCTCCCTCTCCGAAAGCTGCAGCCAGAAGGTGAGAGATTCCCAAATGCTACAGCTCCTTTCCTTCTTCTTCCCCTGGGTGGGAAATGAGCCAACTCAACCTCGCAGGCAGGTTCTTCTGACAAATGGACCCTCCAATATTTCAGATCCTCTCTTTCGAATGGATTAGTCCCAGGTCCCCTTTCCCTGGTGGGAAATGGACTCGCCCAGAACCACCTGGGCACCTTTGAGCCTCACACTGCTGGGAAGACAAAAACCACCCACGTGGAACCAGGCTCTTCTTGTGATGTCCCGAGTGGACGTCTAAGGGAGAGTACCTGGGGTTGAAGCCAGAGCTCACAGAAACGCTGGGGGAAAACTGGGGGCGCGCGGGGGTTGGGAGGGGGTAGTGGCTGTTTCAGGCTGAATCGCTGCTCGCTCTTCCTCCAGGCCAGACTTCTGGGAGTTCCCGGGCAGAAGGCGTTTCGGTCCGGACCTATTCCTGCTAGTGCAGGCCTCCAGGTGAGGACTGTACTGGAAAATCTTGGGGGTGCGGGATGGCACAATGGATCTTCACTACTCCATGCACTGCCCGGCGTCAATGCAGGTGACCTCACTCGGAAGGAAGACTCTTCCAGAGGCTGGGCCATTCCCATTTCTGCCCAGAGTATGGTCTCGCCGGGGAGAGCGGGCCTGGGAGCTGGCGCCACGGACTGGACCATCCTTACAGACAAGCGGGGAGTGCGTGTCCCCATCTCACAAATGGACTGGGCCTGGACCAAACCACATGAACTGGACTGAGGGAGGGAAGAAGAGGGCAGGAAGAAATCTCGCCCTAAACTTCCGCCTCCCTTTTCTCTACTTTGTAATTTATTGATCAGTTTCCGATGGGAGACCGGTGCCCTTCACCCGCGGAAAGGCGGCGGGGCTTCCCTCCCGGGCCGCATGTGGGGAGAGGCTGCCCCCTCCTCTTTTTCCTGCCCAGTCGCGGGGCCCAAGTCTTCCTTCTTCATCCGAAAGGAGGGGAGGGGGGACTCGCTGCTACAAGCCTCGCCCCCTGTGCCACTCAGCCCCGCCCCGCCGCGTAGGGTCGCCAGTCCCCCGGGTCATCTGCGGGCGGGGTCCCCTTTCCCTCCCCCGTGTCTCGTGTCCCCGGGGCCTCCCCGCCCCCCGTGCTGTGGCCGTGTCCGTGCCCCAGGGGTAGAGGGCGCAGAACTGCGCTCCTGGTTCCCCTCCGGTTCCGGAGTTTGCATGGGAGAATCCTCTTTCCACGATGCCACTGGGCGACGTGGTGTGGGGGGAGGGCGGACGGCGGGGGAGCCCTCGTCCCCGACTCTCAGTCGGCCTCCTGGTCCCAGGCGTCACTCAGTGATCACGGGTAAAGAGAACTGTTTCAAAAGCTCCCGTGTTGACTGATTTTCTTTTTTGATCAGGACGTTGAAAAAGTAAACCACCTGCAGGATCCAGGAGGCCGGACCCTTGGTGCCTCAGTCCAAACCCGTCCTTAGACCCCGAGTCAGGCCCAGCCCAACCCCCACCCACATTCCCTATACCCTGAAAATCGACTCTACGCCTGGCTATGTGGTTTCGGGGAGCACGTTTAATCAGAGAAATAAATACGGCGCGTGGGGAGGGGTTGGAGGGCGGGGAGGGACATATGCGTCGCAACCCGGCAGCTAGGTTAAGGTTCCGGCGTCTCCAGCATGTCCGCCAGGGCTCTGGAGAAGAGGGTGCATAGGTTAGTGTCAAATCTCTCACCCCAGGATGCTTAGAGGTCATTACTCCGCCCAGGGTCACTCAGCGGGACAGCTCTTCTCCAAATGGGGCCCTTAAACACCCCCCGCCCTCCTGCACACTTACTGATACAGGGAGGAGGAGAAATAGTCCACGTAGCTTCCTGTGGGAAGAGAGACAAGGCTTGAGGCGTACTTCAGAGGCGACATTATAGAGACACTCAGGGCAAGTGCTTAGCGCTAGCTCCGCCCCCTTTTCCTAATTCCTGCCTCAAACTAAACTCTTACTGGTACTCCTTTGAAGGCCACACCCTTTCTTTCTCTTGAAGAAATTCTCCATAGCCCCGCCCCTTGACTCTCGCTTTGGTCCTGTCCACTCGCTTTGGTCCTGTCCACTCGCTTCTAGCCCCGCCCCTCAACTTTCAGTTTTCTCTTGGCCTCAGGCTTCGCCCCACCCACTGGCTCACACCCTTAGCCACGCCCACCACCTAGCCCCACCCAACGACCTTACGGCCCTTCCCTCAGGTTTGGCTCCGCCCCCAGCAGAGTTCACCTTGCTGGGCCCTGCTCCTTCAGGGTTTTCCTGAGCCCTGCCCTTGCTCACCAGGACTGCAGACAGTTTCACAGACCAGCGGGCACAGGTAGCAGAACTGGCAGTGCTGGGGGCGGGGATAGGGAGAGAAGGTGGTCAGGGGTGCCGACTGTACAGGGTGCTAAGGCCACATGGAGGTTAAGGTCAGTATGAGGTGTGGAATCAAGTTTTAGGAATTGGCTTAGTGAGGGGTCAAAGGCCAGGGTTTAGGAGTGGAGGTACTCATATGGTCCTGGGCCATTCTTAAGTGAGTACCAGGAGAGGGCTCACCTGGCACTGGTCACAGTGTTCACCCATGTTCTCCTCATCACAGTGACAGTTTTCACATTCAGTGCAACGCTGGGGACCAGAGTAGCCTGGTTAGACAGAAACCTCAACCCCACTTGGGAGACACAGGACAGTCGTCCAGCCTTCCCCGCCTCTCCAATATTTCCCCAAACTCCTCCCTCCCATAACTCCTCAACAGGGAGCTCGGTGTCTTCCTCAAATTGCTCCCCATGTCTCCCTTGCTTTCCTATCTCTGGGTGACCCCAAGTCACCCAGTCACTGTGGGCAGGACCTGCAAATGCTCCCTTCATCAGCTGAGTCCCTACTTCCCACAACCTGTCAGTCCTCAGTCCTGTCGCTCCTGACACTTGACTGTGGACCCTCTGTTTACATTCCCCAGCTCAGGTCTCAGCCTCCTTCCTTGATCATCAATCCAGGACCCTCCTCTGGCTCCTGCCTCTAGTCTGTCCCAGAAGTATCTTTTTTCACTAGGACCTGTCCCTGCTGCCCCCTTCCTCAGAGCCCTCCTGTTCCCCCTGGGATAAATTCCAAGGAACAGCTTGGTGCACAGATGTGGGCTGGGGACATACATTGCAGAAGGTGCAGTAGCCACACAGGGACCCTGGCTGGTAGTTCCCATATTCCTGGGCATCCTGTGGACCTGTAGAGACAAGAGTGCAGCGGTGATTCAGGCTGACTCTGCTCTTCCTCACCCCCTTCCAGGCACATCACTTACCCGTATCCTCATCGCTTTCTTCCTCACTGGAGCCATCTCCAGCCACCACCCTCCCAGCCAGGGGGTTAGGGATGAGGGTGAAGGGAAGCTCATTTTCCTCCAGTCCTTCCTCCTCCTCTTCCTCTTCCTCCTCCTCTTCTCTATGACTTTGACTCAGTGGAACCCAAACCTCAGCCCTCTCTTCCTCCCTCTCTTTCTCTTCTTTTTCCTCCTGCTCCTCCTCCTCTTCATCTTCTTCCTCTTCTTCCTTGCTCAGGCTGAGACCATGACCTTCCTCTTCTTCCTCATCTTCCTGATCCAGGATTCCAGGGTGGGCTTCTTCCTCTGAGTCCTCATCGCTTTCCTCCTGAGAGCTTTGATCATCCTCCTTCCTCTCTTCCTCTCCAGAATCAACCTCCCTCAAATGATTTCTCTCCCCAACCTCTGTGTGACCTGGGGGCCGATGGCCAATCTCTTCTTGAATGGACCCTCTGCGGCCATGGCCAGGCTGCTCATCTTGGTGGTCTTGTTGCCTGTGGCTGGAGGCCTGGTGGCCAAGCTCATCAGATATGTCTTCGTCTTCCTCCCTGGGGGCTCTATGGTGGTGATGGTCAAGGGCTTCTGTTTTATACTCATCTGGGAAGTCCTCCTCTTCATCACTCTTATGGCCTTGGGGTTGGGGGCTTGCAACATGATGGCTGAACTTGACTGTGACCGCCTCCTCGTCCTCTTTCTCATCCCTAAGGCCATGGTGAACATGTCGGGGGACCTGGTGCCAGTGCTCAGTGGATAGATCCTCATCTTCATCTTCCTCGTCTCTGTGACTTTGGTGCGCGTGGTCAGGGACATGATGGTGGTGTCCATCTGAGCCTTGCTCATCCTCTTCCTTCCTGTGACCTCGGTGGCTGTGCATCTGGTGTCTATACTCAGAAGAGATCTCGTCCTCCCCCTCCCCCTCCTCCTCCTCCTCCTCTTCCCCTCTGTGATCTTGGTGACCATGTCTGGAGATGTGATGGTGGCGTTCACTGGAGACAATGTCATCCTCGTCTTCTTCTTTGTGGCTGTGGCTTGTGTAGCTGGGGAAGTGGTTTCCACGCTCAGCTGAGTCTCCCACACCTTCATCACCACGGCCTCGGTGCTCGGGGACCCGCCGAACGTGCTCTGGGAAGACCTCCTCTCTGACCTCACGGCCTTGGTACCTGTGGTCTTGAAGTTGGTGGCCAGATTCCCTGGCGATACCTTCGTCCTCCTCTCCATGGTCTCTGTGGCCTCGGAGAGGATGCCCAGTCTCTGTGGAAAAATATTCCTCCTCCTCACTTTGATGGCTCCTATGGCCCTGGATATGGTGGCCAAACTCAGTTGACATGTCCTCCGAGGGCCCAGGGACGCCTGCATTGTTGTTTGCATTCCTGGGACCCAGCCCGGCCCCTCTCAGCTGCTGGGTCATGGCAGGAGGGAGGAGCAGGCTGGCTACTGTGGCCCAGAGGAGAGAAGTGTGCAGCCATGGCCCACGGTGGCCCATGGGGACAGTGAGCAGTAGAGCTACTCCCAGGGCTCGTTCCAGCTGTCTCTGTGGCTATGTGATGAATATTGGGGCCCTTGTCCCCTTTTGGGTCTGACTCTTTCTGTCCGTGCCTCTTCGCCTTGTCCTTCTTGGTCTCTGCCTGTCTTCCTTTGGTCTGGACACCCCTCTGAGGCTGTCTCTGGAGCCCACACCCCCCTTTTGGGCCCTCCCTCCCCACTCTCAGGCCAATAGGGTCTCTCCCCTCCCCTCTGTGTGGCTAAATTTACTTTCAGTCCTGAGTTATTCTGGGTCACTCCCCGCCTGCCCCTCCCTGCCTGCTCCTCCTCCTCCTGCTGAGGAGGGGGTCTCTCTCTGTCTAGGAGAGGGGGCAAAGGGATTTGACTTTGGACTGCCAACAAGCTGTTTGGTAGCTGCCGAAACAGAGGCTAGACTTTTAGCAGGTCAAGGTGTGTGTGTGGGAACCTAGGGGCAGGAGTGGGGAGCAGAAAGGACCTGTCAGAGGGTAGAGACCATTGGGGTGGGTGGGAGGATTGGGGTGCAATTATGGGGAATTTCCAGTCCAGATGGAACCTTCAGTGAGAGAGCAGTGCCCAGTATGGAGGCCCTGGAACAGAGTGAAGGAACCCTGCCCCCAACACACATCCATGACCTCCTCTTGTCCCTGGATCTCAAATCTGGGGGTAGGGGACCTGGCCAGGCCAGGCTATAAATACAGCAGGGGGAGGGTGCTGGGGCTCAGGTTACAGAGGCCCCAGCTGTCCCCGTCAGACAACTCTGCTGTCAGGAGATACATGGTCTTCCCTTCTCTGTGTGTCAATAGCTCCCACTCCTCACCTGTCATATTGCCCTGGCTCTTTGGGTCTCTGTCCTTCATTATAGGGCCCTCATTTCTGTCATCTGCTCTTATCCCTGTACCTTCTCCATGAGATTCTGATCGCCTCTCACCCTGGGCTCTATCTCCGTCTCTCTCTGAGTGTCTCCTACTCTCTGGGGGAATGAAGCCCACCCTCAACTGTCTATCCCCTCTTCCACCCTCAGTGTGTCCTCTCTCCTATTTCTTTATTCTGTCTCTCTGAATCTTTGTCCCCCTTTCTCTGGGTTTCTGTCCCTCTGTGTCTTTGTCCCCTCCTCCCCTCTTTCTGGGTCTCTGTGCTCCTCTCTCTCTGCATTGTCCACCTCTCTGTCTCTATCCCCCAATTCTCCCAAT